GATCTGCTGTGACGAAATGTCTCTGAAAACTAACGTTCAATACGAAAGAAGTAGAGACATGATTATAGGATTGGAGGATTATGGCGATGAAAATCGCACACCACGTGTAGCTTCTAGTGTTTTAACAATTTTGGTCCAAGGCATTGGTGGAAACTCTTGGACTCATCCCTTAGCATATTTTTTTGTTCACAAATCGTGCAAAGGTCATATAATGGAAAAATATATTTTCCAAGCCATAGGTCAGCTCCAGAGTATTGGTCTGCGTCCGTGTCAACTTGTAACTGACCAAGGCTCCAACTTCATGAGTTTTTCTAGGATAGTAGGAGTTACGAAAGACAGACCATTTTTTGAAGTTAATAGCGAGAAAATCTTTTATTTCTTCGATTCTCCCCATCTCCTGAAGAGTACGCGGAATTGCTTAGAAAACCAGAAAAATAGAGTTAGTTTTCATGGCAGACCTGTAGACTGGATGCACATCATCCATGTATATGCAAAAGGCGCCAATTATGACATTTCTTGCACTCATAAATTGACCCCGGCACATGTAAGACCTAAGCCTTTTAATAAAATGAGCGTGCAGTTAGCTTCTCAGGTTTTCAATAATTCTGTGGCAAGTGCAATGTTTGCTATCTACAGCTCCGGGTTTTTAGATAATTCTGAGTCTCCATCTTTTTTCAATACAGCCGAGTTTGTTCTTTTTTTTGATAAGTTGTTCAATATTTTCAATAGTCTCATGTTTGGAGCAACCGGTAATTTCAAACAACCATTTTCTGCAAGTGCGGACCAATTAAGTTTTCTTGAGGAGGCCGAACAGTTTCTTAATTCAATGAAAGTGCAAGATAGTTTGGATCGTGATATCACCAATACCTTTTGTTTCATTAAAGGTTGGCTCCTTAACATTAATAGTTTACGACATTTGTGGAGCTTTTGGTCACACCAAGGTTTCACCCATTTAATGACTAGGAAGTTATGCCAGGATAAGATAGAAAACTTTTTCGGGCATATACGAAGAGGTGGGGGATTTGATGTGAGAATAACTCCACAGCGTTTCTCATATCTATTTAGACAAGCGTGGGGCATAGGCTACATTCGATGTGTTGACAAGGGAAATTGCGAACTCTTGCCCGCGGATCAGTGGGAATCAGTTTCTAGTAGTACCCTCCAAAATGCATGTAATGACGCTCTGGTTAGAGATACGTCTTGGCAAATTTTTCAAGATTTGCCTAGGCCTTCCCTACACTCCGTTCAAAATCTTCAAATTGATGTATCGGTTGAAGTAAATGAAAGTAGTTTCCTTCATCGCAGTGCTTTTGTCTATTTTTGTGGCTATTTATATTTTAAATATTTTAAAATGCATAGTTGTTTAATGCCTCTCCCAAGGTTCGATGGTTTTATTACTGAAAAGGATTTCTACTTTACTAGAGAAAAACAGTTCAGTAATAGCAATCTTGTTAAGCCTCCAAAGGAATTCATAAATTTCATTTCAAACCTTGAAAAAATATTCACCGATCACTTTGATTCGACTTGCTATATGATTGGGTTTTCTCAAATTTTATTTGAAAAGATGGTTGAGGTAGAGCCATATATTTGCTGCGAAAATTGTAATCCAGATATTATAAAGTCTTTGTTTATAAGAATTAGAACTTATTTTTTGATTAACTGCTTTAATAAAGAGGCAAAGCAATCTTACTTTAAAAACATAAAATTTTTGAGTGTAAAATACCGTTAAGGCAAACATATAATAGTGGGATTCACGAAACGTCGGACATGTTTTTTTTTTTTTTTGAATACTTAACTTTTTTTTGTTGTTTTTTCAACATATTTTGTGGGCCGTCAGCCGACAGGTGTGCGGACGGTTGTCACTCCTTTGGGGGTGTCTTCCGTCCCCATGCACTGCCGGAAGTGCGGCTACACTCTCCACGCGGGGGCGGCTGGAAACAGGCTATAGCTACAGTCATGTCTCTGGCTATAGTGCTGGCTAGTGGTAGTCGGGCGGGGAGAAGAAAACTCCCGGGAAGAAGAGGCTAGTATTAGAGGACAGTCTGAGGACGGAGATGACTTTGGTCTCCTACCGTCTCTCAGATTGCCCACTGAGCTGCCGTTTCCTCTCAAAAAAATTACCCCAACTCCAAGGTGGAACAGCGTATGCCGATGGATGCGTGGCCAGCGGGGAGCCTGGTCGTTAATATGCGAACTCTGGATACCGGTTTCTCTCCAGTTTCAACTAGACTTACCGTTGGATCGGGATTACCGCGGCGTACTTTTCCCTTTTCCTTTTCACTCGTGGGAACAAAATGAATTCAAATAAAAATAAACCAAATTTAGATGAGCCCGATGATGCTCAGAAATCATCACTCACTGGCTGCTCTCAACTTCCTCTGACGGAGCCATTGGGCACGTCAAAGGAGGAGCATGCAATGTTTCGTCAGGTGCTGAGTCGGACAGCACGTTGATCCCTGACAGCATGAGCATTTGCTCTGAAAGTTCAGGGCTTACGGAAGTAGGCACAATGCTGCAAAAAGTGAAGCTGGACCCCAAGTCCAGCTTTGTTTACTTCAACTCGAAAGAGCGGAAGATTTTCAGGCGTGTCCTAGGCGAAGGCAAGACTAGGGAGGAAGCCTTAAAAATGGCCAAAACTACGTCAACGACCACTTGGAAGTTGAAACGTATTCGCCCCGAGAAGAAATCACCCAGTGGCAATGTCACGAAAAAACCCAGACCGGCTCACATGGGGCCCGCAAAAACCACCTTTAGCCGGGTGGTAAGTAGCGTAGACTTGGGTTTTGTTCCGGTTGACTCAGTCAACGATTCTTTAACAGTGGAGCAACTGGCACTGCTACAAGAGGCGATAATAGACGTCGCGATTGAGAACTCGAGCGACGACGTAAAGCCCGAGTTCGAAAGTTGTACCCCTCGAGCTGGGTGGCTTCTTGTCGTCTGCTCGAACGCTCAAACAGCGACGTGGCTAAAATCGAACCTCCAGCTTATCAAGACCAAGTGTGGTCTGGACGTTAACCTTGTGGAAGAAAATGAGTTCCCTCGAACTCACGTAATCCGAGGATATTTCCCCCATAGTTTCCAGCTCAGTAACGAGAAGATTCTGAACACCATCACCTGGACTCTTGCTCATCCTCCAGCAAGGCCACTGGGCAGGCTGAGAGCTGGCACGAGGTCATTCCAGTCTCGAAAGCTGCCGAAGTGATGGCGGTGAAACCGACTCCGCCACAACTTCCATTAAAGGAGATGGTTGACCCCCCTTGGGCCAGGGCGAACATCCTACCCGTAGTGACAACCGAGCAACTGTGCAGGCTGGGACTGCGTCGTCGGTGGTTGCATCGGCTTCAGAGAGGGATCAACAACGTCTCCCAACGTCCCAACGGAAGAAATGAGAAACGCATCTCATCTACTTTTTTTAGTCCATTTTTTTAACATATAAAATTAGAAGCTGTCACCGTGGGTGAGTTATGTATATGTATTATAATTTAAATTCCGTAACTACTTCGAAGTTGTACATATGTATATGTATGTTTATTAATATATTTTACGTTATTGTTCTTACCCATTGTACCTGAATTTTCAATGGCATCTCATATTTTAATTTTCTACTAGTACAAGTAGTACTGTTTAGACACTGTTCTTCTGATGTATTAATGTGCATGTATATATGTAGAATATTTGCTTTATATGGGTGAAAATAGGCCTCAAGGGGAACCGAACACCCAAAAAAAGTCGGTAACGCGCCTTTATTGCAACCTCAGCGGTGGTGTGGAAAAGCAATAATAAATTCCCATATTTAAATTTACTTTGAGGCTTTATGTAAAAAAAAAACTAATAAAACGTTTCACTTACCACCAGATTTATATGTACATATATCCCAATACCAATTTTTAAATATTGAATTTTGTATTTATTTATTCATAATATATTTATATTTATATATATGTATATATGTTAATTTAATTAAAAATTTTGCTATGCTAATAAGTAACTTTTTATTGTACTGTTATTTGTTGAATAAAAATAAATAAATAAATGAAACAATTAATTACGAAAGTGGTTGGTTTCTTTATTTTCATTTATGTACATATCCCACATTTGCTGCAAGAGTGTGCAGCTCATCGAATTCAATGAATTTATGAATTTATGAATTGTAAAGTTTTATTATACATACATATTTTAAATTTTAGGCCCAAAACGCCGTAATAATAAATAAGTAAATAAATACATATATATAAATGAAATAGGGCGTTTTTAAAAGCTTTTTGAGATAGGGCGTTTTCGAACTGGCTGCCGTTTCCAAAAGTTGAAAAATTTGTATAAAAAAGTTAAGCGATTTTAACGGTATTATAATCACAAGAAAGGTAATCGATTTCCCTTTCTTCACATATATATATAAACAGTTCCAAAGTATTTATATTAGTTCACAAAAATTCAGTTTTCTTACATCTTTAGAAAATTTGACCGCGATTTTTCAGCATACATATAGATGTTTTCAAAAATTGAAAAATTTCTATAGAAAAAGATAAGCGATTTTAACGCTATTATAATCAAAAGAAAGGTAATCAAATTACCCTTCTTTCGATATATATGTGCAATTAAAAACCGTTTATAGAGGTTCTTAAATACTCAGTTTTCTTACAACTTTGCAAAATTTTATCGGGTTTTTTTCTTTTTTATGTGTTAAAATAAATATGTACATACAATAGAAATAACTATTAAAACAATTTATTAAAAATTTGTTAGTTAAGCGTAAAATATTTGAAAATTAGACTAGAAGTGCCTTTACCACTGATTGCCGGCGTTTGTTGGACATTTTCAAATCCGATTGCAGGATCGCTGAACTCCATTTACATAATATTGCCTGATGAGGTGTCTGCTACTATGGCGATTGCATTCGTTTATCATTTAAATATTCCGCTAAACATTTGAAAAAAAACCAAGTTTTTTAAGTATATGCAAAATTAAAATGCCTTAGTAATTAAATAACTACCTGCTACAATATAACCCACAGTGCAGGCTTCCCAGTAACACTCAATGGCATTATCGAACTTCTCCAATTTTTCCATCCAGCATGGTGCTATGCGCAACTAAAAAATTTACATCCAACGAAGCTTCGACAAATGAAATCTAAAAGAAAAATTAACGTATTAAAATAACGAAAAATAAATATGTAATTTATATATTATTAAAATATTTATATAAATACATGTATATATGTAAAATATATATGTACATACATATAGATGTATATATTTCCATTGCACTTTCTTCTTTTTACCTACATACATAGTATGTACACATGTAGGTAGGTGCAGCTCACTTTGTACAAATGTATTTGCAATTCCCTTTCTTTTTGTGCTTAACTGCATACATATGTATGTATGTACACATTTGTGCAGTTGCAGTTGGAGCGTTCATTTAGTGAAATATTCTTTTGCAATTGTTTCATATACGCCTCACTTTATTCTGTTTGCACACATATCTACACATGTAGGTACCCAGCCAATATGCTGGTTGGTTGGAAAGATGCAACTAGAACTGATGCTAATAATGCAGCGAATGCAAATATTATTCCTGACCAAAATGACTGTTTTCAAAAACGCATCAATTCTTTAGTGCACAAATAAACGAAATTTGTGCGCATTGGAAAGCCGCCAAAAGGTGAGAGTCTACTGCACTTTGCACATATTTTGCAGCACACTTTTTGTTCTTTACATACATATGTACCTATTTGCAGCTGGAGCATTCTGCTGCACTTTCTAACATACATATGTATGTATATATTAGCACTGCACTTCTTTTTACCTACATATGTACACATTTAGGTAGTTACAGCTGGACCATTCTACTGCACTTTTTAAATATTCGCACACTTTTAAATTTTATTGTTTATATATATGTGTACACATTAAGGTAGTTGCAGCTACACTTTGTACAAATGCCCTGGTACAAAACTCACCGAACAATGTATTGTCTTCATTCCCCTCGCCAACAAACCATGCTTGCACAATTATTCATGCGTGTTTTAGGCCAATGGCATTTTCGCACTAAGTTTTTCAGCTACATTCAGCTATGCTTCGGCCACATCTTCAACAGGCAAGGCAATGGTAACGGTTACCCAGAGCCATTATAGAATTCCTAAATGAACGTTCTAACGGGTGATTTTTTTGAGGTTAGGATTTTCATGCATTAGTATTTGACAGATCACGTGGGATTTCAGACATGGTGTCAAAGAGAAAGATGCTCAGTATGCTTTGACATTTCATCATGAATAGACTTACTAACGAGCAACGCTTGCAAATCATTGAATTTTATTACCAAAATCAGTGTTCGGTTCGAAATGTGTTTCGCGCTTTAAATTTTGTTCAGCGATGAGGCTCATTTCTGGTTGAATGGCTTCGTAAATAAGCAAAATTGCCGCATTTGGAGTGAAGAGCAACCAGAAGCCGTTCAAGAACTGCCCATGCATCCCGAAAAATGCACTGTTTGGTGTGGTTTGTACGCTGGTGGAATCATTGGACCGTATTTTTTCAAAGATGCTGTTGGACGCAACGTTACGGTGAATGGCGATCGCTATCGTTCGATGCTAACAAACTTTTTGTTGCCAAAAATGGAAGAACTGAACTTGGTTGACATGTGGTTTCAACAAGATGGCGCTACATGCCACACAGCTCGCGATTCTATGGCCATTTTGAGGGAAAACTTCGGAGAACAATTCATCTCAAGAAATGGACCGGTAAGTTGGCCACCAAGATCATGCGATTTGACGCCTTTAGACTATTTTTTGTGGGGCTACGTCAAGTCTAAAGTCTACAGAAATAAGCCAGCAACTATTCCAGCTTTGGAAGACAACATTTCCGAAGAAATTCGGGCTATTCCGGCCGAAATGCTCGAAAAAGTTGCCCAAAATTGGACTTTCCGAATGGACCACCTAAGACGCAGCCGCGGTCAACATTTAAATGAAATTATCTTCAAAAAGTAAATGTCATGGACCAATCTAACGTTTCAAATAAAGAACCGATGAGATTTTGCAAATTTTATGCGTTTTTTTTAAAAAAAAAGGTATCAAGCTCTTAAAAAATCACCCGTTATAAATATCTGAAGTCATAAATAAATGATTTAAAGAATATAGCAAGCTTACCTTCACAATTTTATACGTATACTAGCCAATGCCCACTTGCTTCACGGCGCCTAATAAGAACTTTTGCGTCGGTTAATGCTAAACAAAAACAAAAGAAAAAACAGTCTGTAAAGTCAAAATTTTTAGTAAGTTGAAACCACTAGAGCACGGTATCCTCCTCACACATAGACCGAGAATAGTAACGCTGTGATACTGTATGAAAAACTAATCCCTTTCGGTGACATGAGCTTTGCCGCGGATGGTCTTATTTCCACCTGTGAAATCTCTGCCAAGCGTGCATAATCTTCTTTGATCTTGCAACTACAACCTTTTTCCGATGCGTAAGCCAGTAAAAGTCCTCATAAGGAAACTCAAGAGCACAGATATGCGTTTTCTGTTATAGGAGGGCCAAGAATCCTCGCTGTCCTGCTGGATGAAAAGTTTTCCCGAACATTGGCTAAATGAGTCGTGTGATCCCTTGAATATCGTTCAAATTGAGCAATCGATATACCTACCATTTTCCTTCCTTGTTAAGGTCGGTGTTATGCAGACAAACTTTTGTTTGCCAAATTAAATGGCGGCTGCTTAGTTTGCTCGGAGGTGGTTATGTCGAGTTTGGCACAGGGTTGCACGTTCATTATGGTTTTCATGGCTATTGCCAACACGAAATGAGAATTTCAGATGTACATAACTCGCAAAATTTAAAATTTTTGTATATGACAACACCGAATTTGCTGCAGTTTGACCAAACAAAATTAGTTTGCTGTGAGAGTCGCCAAACTCGCTCTCTCCGAGTTTGCTGCAACAACAATTGCACGCAGTTTGCCAAACAAAATTTCTGCATAACACCGACCTAATTCGCCACTTATACAATTCGTGTTAATATTTATTGGTGCCTATTTGTTGTTAAAAAATTTTGTAAACAAGACCGCGGCCATATTTATATGCAGTGATGTATTTTATGGTACTTATAAAATGCATCATTACAATCACAAAGTTGCATTTTATGGTAACATTAAAATCAATGCAAAATCGACAAAAGTACTTCAAAATAATATCTATGACTAACAAAATTTACACTAATTCATATTTTCTTAGTTATAGTAATGCTTTTTTAATTATAAATTCCTAAATTTGCACGAAATTTTTTAAACTTTTCAATAAGATATATTATGATTTTTTAACCTTTTTAATGCAACAATGTTGCAAAAACGTGCGTTTTAAAATCAGGTGATCTCAGCTGTAGGCATTTTTTGGCAATTAGCTGATAGTGTTTTTACTTATGAAACTGTACAGTGATTGAAACTACCTTCTTTTTTGTATCATGTTAGCAACTTCGATTTGAAAATCACAAATCTAAAAACGTATACATATATATCAACATATGTATGTGCATTAGGATGGTCCTAAAAAATCAAATGAAGATTTTTTTTAGGTCTCACTCCTCAATTGATAATACCACTGTCACAGATATCACATATAAATTTTGGTCTAATAACCAAAATCGATACTACCATAGTCCAAGATATCACATATAAATTTTGGTCTCGATTGGATTCGTTTAAGGCGTGTCGCAAAGCCCTCAAAGGACACAGAAAACTGCAAATACATTTTTTTAATTTAATGCCCAAAAGCGATACTACTAAAGTCGAGGATGTCCCATATAAATTTTTGCTCCGATTGGAGTCGGTTAAGACGTATTCATAGGGAAATCTGAACTTAGACCGCTGTGCGACACACCTTAACCCACTTCAATCTGGACCAAAACTTATATGTGATATCTTCACTATAGTGGCATCGACGTAGGGGTTGAGGCTTAGGATATCTGACGTAAAAATTTGCTTCCTACATTTAAGGACCACCGTAATGTACATACATATTCTGAATTCTCAATCAAACAGACACACAAAAACTTGCACATTTCACCAGCTTAGAATCATTTTGCAACTCAATGTTACAATTAATTTCCCTGCTTAAGGCCTGTATGCAGCTCTCAAGAAAAGCAAAAACTCCATATAAAATGACGTACAAGAAATGGCTAAGAAATTTTCTTGAGTCAAATTTCCTTAAGGCCGTACGCAGTTCTTAAGAAATTTCTACGCTTTCTACTACGGTTTTCTAAAGTTTTTTGTGAAAAAAGGGCACAAGGCAACCCGGGTTTGCAACAGAAATATATGCCCGTTCCATTATTTCTTGAGGAAAGAGTGAAGCAACAGGCTGTGAAGTATCAAAAATGTCAAAATTCCTTGGACACACACGCGAAATAATGGTAATTTTTTCTTGACCATTTTCTTGATAGCTGCATACAGGGCTTTACTGAGGAAATCAGTAATTTCCTTAGCCGCAGAAATTACACTCTAAAGTAAATACTTAAGAAGTTAGTGAGTGCTAACAGCTACCCCAACAACAAAAACAGGTGATAACAACTGGCAAACGTCTTTCTTTCTTTAGATTTTTTTGTTGGAAAACAAATGTAGTTAGTATCGCGTCTCGTCGACGCATCAGCGCAACGCATAAAGTGGCGCTTTGGAAGGGCTACGTGAATAGCGAAACATGCCGAAACAGACCGAAGGATGCAGGCTTGACTTGTATGTAATGGCAGTCGTAGAACAGCCCTTTAAACATCTAGCGAGCACCGCAGAAAAACACCAGCAGTGCATGATTTGCTCGTTTTCTTTTCGAACAAAAATTTGGAAATAAAGCGTGAAATATATGGAAGTGGGTGTGGGCAGATGGTGGGCGAAAGGCGTTTGATGTCGGGAAATTTCGTAATGTTTGTGCGTTAGCCGGCAACGCGATGTTATCGGCGTGAGAGCTACTCCAGCTACTTTTTCTAAAAAAACGCCGCAAAATTCCAATTCAAAATCAGCATTCAGTTGTGGATTCGGCATTACATACAATTGAATTGATACGGAAGCGGTGATATGCTTGTTTGCGACCCCCACTAGCATACGCAGTGCTAGACCGAATAGACAGCAGCGCATGCTATGGCAACTGAGTTTGGCAATGACTTTGCTTAAGGGTAGCCCTGCAGGAAATAATGGTAAAACAAATAAGTATGTATGTATATGTATGCAAGTATATAAATAGATGACGAGAGTATCAGAATTGAATGCCGCTGATTGGTAGGACTATAGTATATAGTATTAATACGTTGCCTAGTGATGAAAAAATTCTTGAAACGGTAGTTAAAAAACAACTAATAGAATATTTAGAAACTAATAAAATATTAATGCCACAACAGGCTGGTTTTAGGAAAAGGCAGTCGTGTGAAACTGCACTAAACTTAGTATTAGCTCGCTAGAAAGAAGAATTGAGCAGAAATAAATACATAGTTGCCGTCTTCTTAGACTTAAAGCGCGCATTTGAGACCATCGATCAAGAGTTACTTCTAAATAAATTGAGTAATATAGGGATACGGGGCGTTGAGCTAAAATGGTTTCAAAGTCTTATTACAAATCGTTACCAGAGAACACAGATTGGATCGTCCGTATCTGACAAAAGAAGTATAGTGGTTGGTCTACCTCAAGGCTCAGTGCTAGCACCTATATTATTTAATATATACATACATGATATTGCCAACGGTATTAAATATTGTGATATTAATCTTTTCGCTGATGACACGTTAATCATGTTAAATGGTGACCATATTACTGATATTGTTTCAAAACTACAAGATGACTTAAATAAAATATATAATTGGCTATGTTTAAACAAACTTAAAATAAATGTAAGTAAAACCAAATACATGGTCATATCCAGAAGAAATATTGATATGCGTGAACTTCGTAGTTTAAACATAAACCAACAAAAAATAGAAAGGGTGTGGAGCTTAACGTACTTGGGTATAAAAATCGATGAGAAGCTACAGTTCAATGATCATATTGACTATACCGTAAGCAAAATAGCAAAAAAAATGTACTTTATGCGGCGTACTTGCAAATTACTGAAAAGGAAATATAAAATAATGGTATATGGATCAATAATAAAACCTCTCCTCAATTATTGTCCAACAATTTTCTTCATAATGAATGATAGCCAAATTTATAAATTGCAGAAACAACAGAACCAAGCAATGAGATTCATTCTTCGAAAACGATATGACACGCCCATTAGAGACATTTTATCAGCCCTTGGTTGGCTAAGTGTGAAACAACAGCACTTTTATTATACGATGAAATTTGTTAAAAACATTATTGAAGATAATTTACCAGAATACCTAAAGATTAACTTAAAGTATGGCAGCAATGTACACAATAAAGATACACGTACGAAAAATGACTTCAATTTACCCATGTTAAAAAGCGAATCTGATAAATGTAATCTTTATTACAAGGGTCTTAAAAGTTATAATGAATTACCAAATACTGTCAATCAATGTAAAAACATCAATGAGTTTAAAAGAAAGTTGTTTGAATTTTGTAAATCTATCCCAATATAATGTAATGTATTACTTTATATCTGTTTTCCGTTTACTATTGATAATATTGACGATCATAATTCTGCAAATGTGTATATCGATTATTACATCAATACCTATGCCGATTATTACAACAATAATTTTACCGGTTGCGATCATTCTATACTTATTTCGATTATAACATCGATAACTCCGTCGATTACTACTTTAATCATTCCGCCTATAGCATTTCTTTTATAAAGATATCGCTAATTACATCGATTATATCAGCAAACAAATATCGATTTATATAATTTTATCGATGCATAGTTGATTATGTATATCGATAATAATCATACATACTTACAAACGCAAAGGAAAAAAGCTCTAGCGAAATTTTAAAGTAAAGACTGATAATAATAATAATATAATAAAATAAAATATATATAATAGCTTAGTTGACATACTATTTAAGCAGAAAGCAACCGATCAAGTTTATGATATGTAATTTGAACCTGAAAGTTCTCCAAAAGTACGGAAAAATCACGAAAACTACCGAAATTTGGCTGGAAAGAGTCCATGAGTCTCTTAAAATGTCAAAAAAGGCCATATTGAAAGACGAGAAATCAAATCTTTAAGGGACGCTTCCAGCATTTTGGACATACGTACGAACCGAGAACCAAACATCCACTCCGACCACTATCTTGTTGCGGCCAATGTACGCATACGTATTTGTGCAGAAAGAAATGTGAGCCCAGCAATAGAAGGCACAACGTCTGAAAGTCCAACGTCTAAAAATTGTAATTACAAAAGACGGCCAATTTATTGGCAGCTCGACTCTCACAACGGCCTCCATAGATAGGGCTGCCAGATATCTCTGTTGCTAAACCGGGACACTTTAGGGAGGGCCTTCTCTTTCATTTCGACGTGCGAAAGGATGTAGTGAATTTTTATTTTGACAGACAAAAACAAAAACATAAAAACATGAGATCATGAGATCATTACAACATACGCCAACAAAACAAAACAACTTATCACAGAGAATTTTTCACAATGCATGAACCTCTTTTTATTCTTTATAAAAATACAGTTTATACTAAATATATGAAAAAATATAAAAACAAA